AAGAGGCCCACATGGTTAACCCAGGGCCACTGAGAAAATGGTGAGGCTAGGATGCAAACCCAGACCCGTTCTTAGGAGTAGTGGGTCTTGGGAGCTGGGTTTAATCCTGCTTCCCCTTCCTCATCTGTAGCATGAGTGGTTACCTTTGATGATATTGGCACATGTTTCAGCTCTGACTGTCTGACAGTTTAATCTCAATTTCCATTGGGTGGTGCACCTTCTGCGGGGGTGACTAAAAACAGCTCCTCAGAACTCTAGGCCCCTGTACTGCAGTCTGAAACCAGCTCCCCTGGAAGGAGGACCTGACAGTGACAGAGATCCTGGTGCCATGATAGGCCACTGTGGGCTCTGATGTCCCCAGATCCCAAGGGCCTTGATTCATTCTTGCTTCTTTCCTAACATTTTTCTCTGTGTAGAGATGCCAAGAACAACAGGAGAGGAAAAACAGCACTGACTAATGTAGTTACCTCCAGGAGGCCACCCTGTAATGGGTGCTGTAACTGTGGGCCTCAGGCTGGGCAATCCGTGAATTAGCTGTTGGCCTTATTTCACAGCAGGAAGAACAGAACCCAGAAGGATAAACTATCTGCAGGGTGCACACAGCTATAAGTGTTGGAAATGAGAACCAACTCAGCAGTCTCAAACAGTAGATGATTCCAAAGATGTAAAACCCAAAACGGCTTTCATTAGAAAACATCACATAGGCTTATTGTGGATTTAATAGCAGCCATTTATTTAGTAGACCCTCTGTGTCAGGTCCCTTCCATTTAAGACTTTAAGAATCTATCACACAGGCAGGGGAGGTGAGAAGATTTAGGTTAAATGACTTGCCCCAGATCGGTCATACAGTTGAGAGGGAGTGGTGTCAGGAATTGAGCCTGCATCGTTTAAACTCCAGAGTGTGACACTTACTATTTCTTCGCAGGTGCTCTCTTTTCTGCTGTGGCCTGCGTCAATAGCTTGGCCATGCTGACGGCCTCTGGCATCTTCAACTCGCTCTACCCAGCCACTCTGAACTTCATGAAGGGATTCCCCTTCCTCCTGGGAGCTGGCCTCCTCTTTATCCCAGCCATTCTGATTGGGTAATGTGGGACCCTAAACCCATGTTCATAATACAGCCCTTTATCCTAGAGCTTTCCTCTGCCTCCTGGGCAGAAATGACAACATCATTTCTGGGACCTCCCTCTGGGTGTCCCATCCCAGGCTGATTCCCCTCTTACAGCTGCTGACTTTCCAGGAGCTGGTCTGCAAGGGCAGGGAGGGTACTTCAGGGCCATTCCCCCCACTGAATCTCAGCACCTCTCATCTCCTCTGTCCCAATTCACAGATGGAACTATGGTGGAATCTCAGAGAAGGTCCTCAGCTTCCTGTGGCCAGCCCACAGGCCAGCCTGATTGCTTGACTTTTTCCTAATAGTCTGAAGTTATTTTCTAGAGCTATCTCTAGATCTTGGCCTGTACCTCTCAGCTTGGGGAGGAGAGCCCCCTAGTCAATCCTGTGTCACCTCTCCAGACAGCAGTTGAGGGTTCTTCCAGGTCAACTCTATTCCCTTTCTCTGGTCTCTCACAGGATCCTGGAAAGGATTAATCCCCACCCTGAATTCCAGCAGTTTCCCCAGAGCCCCTGATGTGCCTGGATCACAGGACCAGAGTGAGCCCAGCCTGACTGTGAATCCGCCCTCAGGTGCTGGCCCCCCACAGCACCTGCACCTCTCCTTCAAGGACAGCAGCGTGGACCACCTGGGGCAGGGGTCTGTTCACCCTTCTACCCCCCATCACCCTTGGCTGTGTGAGAGAGGAGAGGTCTTGGAGGTGACACATCAGGGCCGAGGTGAAGCATGGGGGCTGGTATCTGTCCAGCCCACATTGCAAAGTCCACAACATTAGGTTTCCCTCTCATGGCTGGTGGATCTGATCAGTGCTGGCCTCAGGGAGTAGTGGGAGAGAACTGGCTCCCCCTGTAGGAAGAATGCTGCTGTCACTATAGTTGGAAATTAAACCTGATTATGGCCTGCCTACACCTGGGTTTAACAGTACCAGTTATCCTAATAAATCAGTTGAGTCAAGCTGAAAAGAATCTCCTGGTCCCCAGGGCATTGTGCTTGGGGTCGTTTCTTTTCTTGCTTCTGGTCTATCTGTCATGGGTCAGATAGCAGCAGTAGCTGGCCTGGGCCAATGCTCCTAAGCTGTCTGTACAAGTGGCACTGGGTGTGTCCTGCCAACCCCATCTGACTTCTCGCAACTCCTGGGTGATGTGGAAAGCTTTCATCAGGCCAGCATAAAAGCATGGGGCAAGCAGCAATGGTGGCACACACCTGTGGTCCCAGCTACAGGAGGTTGCAGAAGAAGACTATTTGAGCCCAGGAGTACAAAGCCAGCCTGGGCAACATAGCAAGACCCTGGGTCCAAACAAAAGCAGAATGAGCTTAGACACAGCCCCAGCTGCCCATTCCTGATGATCAGTCTGACACATTCCTTGGAGGTACCCATACTGGTCTTTCTGGCTGCACCAGCCCAGACAGGTCAGATTTTGTTGCCACTCAACTCTCAGATAACTCCCACTGCTGAGCACTGCAGCAGAGCCACATGCTGTTCCTCTGGAAGTCAGCAGGAACCTAGGAGCCAGTTTTCTATATAATCCAAGGCCCAGATTCCCAAAGAATGAGGAGCCCATTCTTAGGGAGTTGAAAGGCAGGATCTTACTTAACAGTAAGCCACTGGATTTGATGAAGACTGTAATTCCCCCAAGCAGACCCAATTCAGTGGGTAGTCAACTCTGCCAACCGGAAGTGCCCATTACAGCTTGGCCCTGCTGCTGTTTCTCCCCTCTTTCTCTCTCACCTGTCCTGCAAGCCAGTTTCCTGACGAAATCACACAGGTGAAATGGGGTTATCCCAGGGCCTCTGCAGCCTGGATGCATTTCCAGATTCCCCCTGCACTGTCCCCTCTGCGGCTGGAAGATGTAAGCACCGTAAAGCTGTGAGAGGAGAGGAAGACAAAGGCTCCAACCCACCATGATCCTTAGCAAGCCCCCCTAGGAAGGGCAGAGCCCTGAGCTGTCTGATCACGGGCCTCCACCTGGTGGGACATGTTGGGAAGCACACTTGCCTGATGCGCTGAGACCTTCCTACCCAGTACAGTCTAAAATGAGATGCCAGTCCTCTTGGGCCTGGGTAAGGATGAACGAATTGTGCATGGACTTTCTGCCTCTGAATGTCCCTGAGCAGTTCATGGCCCTTGGGAAAGGGAAGGTGAGGTAGGGAAGGGACCTTGCTGCATCAGATGCCCAGCCGAACATAGTTCTGGAGAAGCAGGCTCTGGAGAAGGATCAGTACTGAGGGACCATGTCTGGGAGGGGTGGCATCAGGCTAATGCTACCTGTATTGGCTACAGGTGATCAGTATTTGTAGGGGGGCTGTCACCCTGAACACACTGGTCTGAGTGGGCTTGAGGATGGGCTCTGCTTACTCTGGGAGACAGATAAGAGCAAAAAGGTCAGCCAGAAGCCCAGATAGTGGACGTAGACCTCAGTGGAGAGTGTACTGAACAGAAGAAAACCCAGCAATTCCTCAGCACTACTCTCGGGGCCCTCCTCGGGGAGTGAGCTGATTGAGGACAAAGAGATGGAAAGTGTCCCCTAAGGGTGCTCATAAACTATTCTGTGATGGACTCTATTCTGTGGGGGCAATAGGCAGTCTGCCTCATGCTCACATCCAGGACAGAGTCCGACCTGTACTAGCAAACACGTGTGGAAGAGGGAGGATTCACCTGCTCAGAGCCACAGCCAGGCCAGGATCGGCGGGAGATGGGATGTATTCCAGGGAGGGAAGTGGAAGGAAGACTCCCAGGCCTGGATGAGGCTTGATTTTCTGGTGCTATGGGCCTAAAAGCACAAGCACCCAGGCCTGATCCACATGTGAGGGGTCTGCAAGCAGTGCCAGCCTCAAGGTGCCTTTGGAGGGGAGCAGTGCCGTGGGAACAGCCAGCTCCACTCTCTGGTTGCTGGAGGAAGGGCACTTTTCCCCTTCCTACTCCAGTGGAGGGAAGGGCAAAGGGATACTCTTGTTCTGCTATTTCTGTGTGGCTCCTGGGTTGGGATTTGGGAAACTAGTCCCAGCGCCAAAATCTCTGAGGCAGGGGACCACCATGGCCCTGCCTGGGGCACAACCTCCAGGATGAATCTTGGGACAGCAGGATCACCAGCAATGGCTGGGTGCTGGGAGGCCTGGGGTTGCCTCTAATGGCTTTGGGACCTGGGCTCATGACCATACTGGGTAGGGCTCCTGTAATGTTCAGATCTTGAGTGCAGAGCCTGGGAAGTAGCAAGGATTCGTGGGGGACTTGATGCGCGGTGTCATCTGTTGACCCCCATTGGCATTCTTGGGAATCAGAAATGCAGACCCTCGAACCCCACCTGAGATCTCCTGAGTTGGATTTTAACATGAGTCTGAATGTACTTTATACTTGGCAAAACTGCCCTACGTCATAACCCTGGCCCTTCCAATCCTGCCTCTTCGCACTGAGCTGTAGGCTCTCCCCAGGCTGCCAGGTGGCTGCCTGGTCCCCCTCTTTCCTCAGCAAGTGGGGGTGAAGCCCTGGGTAGGTGAGGAACTAAGGAAGCTAGCAGGCCCATGTCAAGCGGGAGCCTTAGGCACAGCACCAAGCATGTGGTGGGACAGGCTTGAGACATGGCCTCCCCTGACCAGGCCCAAGCAAGAGATTCCTGTGCCACAGATCAGCAAGAAGGGTAGCTCATGCCAGCCTTGAACCAGGATGTGGTAAAGAAGGCTGCCCTGGAGGAAGACTGGGAAGGCCATTGAGTGGTTACAGGGCAAGGCCATAAGGCAGCAGGAAGTGGTGAGCTAGAGCCAGGCACAGTCTGGGTCAACTGTCATCCTTGGCTGCCTCCTGGGCCCAGGCACAAGAGGGCTGGCCATTGCCCACTTCCTTCCTGTCAAAGGCTGCAGGGCTTCCCCCTTCTCAAGCCAGCTACACTCTGGATAGGAGACAGAGAACTTGCAGCAACCCACCCCCACCTCCTGTCTCCACAACCAGCAGGGACACAGTTGTGCGGGTGGAAGATGGAACCTGATGGCAGGACCTGAGGGAGGTGGCAGCCTCCCCACCCCCATGCCACCTCGATCCCATACTGAGGAGGGTGGGGACAGTGAGAGCCACTTCCTGAGAAGAGCCTAGGTTGTCTCAGCCCAGAGGGGCCAGGCGAACCTTTGGGAGGACAGGATTCACAGCAGGGCTTGGGAACTGGGGACTAGTTAAGGTGGGCCCATAGGTGCAGCCCCCTCCAAACTGGTGTCTGAGCCTGCAGATGAATCCCGGGAGGAGCGACCCTGCAGGAAGCGGATGATCTTCTCAATGGTGGCCTCTTGGTACTCGTGGGACCACCTGTGGGCACAGAGGCCAAGTGGGTTTGAGGGCTGGGCAGAGGAAACTGGTGTGACTGTATCCCTGTCCCCTGCCCCAGGGCCTTGGGACTCACTTGATGCCATTGAAGGTAAGCACAGCCTGCATGTCCTCAGGTAGAGTGTGGGGCTCAGGCCACTCGAAGCCATCAATGATAGGCACAATGTTCTTGCCACAGCTTAAAGCAGTAACAATTTCCTGGAGAAAGAGGAGGAAAAGAGACACCTGTCTTATCTCAGGGACCTCGGGAACAGGGAGGGGCTCGGCCACTAGCCAGAGCAAGACACAGGTCCTGAAACCCACTTGACTTTTCTTTCATACCTTCTAGGGTCAGAAATCCTTCGGAGCTGAGTGTGGTGGCACATGCTCATCATTGCAGTTGCTTGAGAGGCCAAGGCAGAAGGACTGAACATTTGTGCTCACCCTGGGCAACTCAGCAATTTAGGGGGGGGGGGCGTCTCAAAGTAAAAAAGGCCAGGGGAGGGAGCTCAGGGTGAAGGATCTGGGTTCAATCCTCAGTACCACAAAACAAAAACAAACTTGTCTTAGCCCTCGGATAGAGCTAGCCCAGGAGCTCCTAAAACCACCAGAGTCTCCTGAGTGATCAGATCTTTGCTAATGATGCGACTCTTTGCCAGGGTGAGAAAGTAGGAGTGGTGGCTTAAAGAGCTCTGGAATGAGGGCTGGTCACCAGAAGACCACGGCAGGATTTGAGGGTTGGGACCTTCTTTTAAAACCACAACATCTAATGGGTTCCCAAAGTCCTGTGTTTTCTAATTTATAAGGTAGAGTTAATGCCAGTTCCCAGCTTGTAGGATTGGTGCATGGAATGACTGCAATAGTCCATGGCAGGTGCTTAGCATGCAGTGGATGCTTAAGAAATAAGATGTGGGGCCAGGCATGTTCCTCAGCAGCATAGCACCTGCCTGGCAAGTGTGACTTCCTGAGTTTGATTCCCAGTACCCCCCAAAAAAACAAAACCAAGAAATAGATGTGTTCTTATTTCCTCTTCTGTGAAGTGGGAATTATAAAACCTCCTGCACAAGGTTGTTCTGAGGATCTTACTATTAATGTGCTGTCTGGTAAGTGCTTACTTACTGAATCGTGTTTTCCCTTCAAGGGCACTGTTGGGGATGGGACTTTCTGAAGCATAGTTCACTTGCGGTTTGCCATATTGATTGCCCACTAAATGTGGCTTCGGGGAAAAGAATATTGAAACCAGAGGCCATTAGGCACTAAAAACAACCAAAGAGGGATGACGCAACCTTTGGGACTGGTCCAAAACGAAGGCAGCCACCACCTGCCTGCCCCCTCCCCACCTCCACCTGCAGAGCACCCTCGTGCAGTGCGGAAAGCCTGCATAACTTCAGCCGAACTGGCTTTCCCTCTCTTTTACAGAAGACAAGAAGGAAGGCCAGACACGGGAAGGGAATTCCCCCCAAGTCACACGCACATCCCCCCAGGACAGGACAGGCTTCTAGCACAAGCCTTAAGAGTCCAAGTCTTGGGCTGCTTCAGGTCTGAGGCTTCTCCTGAGTACCTGGATGAATTCTGACCACACTGCCATTAATTTGGGGACCTTTAGGCATTTGTTTCTTCTGGAAGCCCAAAGAATCAAAGACAGTGCAGATTGCATGGGGCTGGCCAAGAAAGGGCAATGAAGAAACAAAGGCAATGACTTCTGCATCACTCAGCCACTCAGAATGGTGGTGCACACCTGGGATCCCAGCACTCGGGAGGCCGAGGCAGGAGGAATGGTGCAAGTGCAAGGCCAGCCTGAGCTACACAGTGAGTTCAAGGCCAATTTGAACTACATAGTGAGACCCTGTCTCAAACACATGAAAAACAAACAAAAAGATCACTCAGCTGGCTGAGAACAAAAACTCAATTAGGGTTCAGCCTTCAGACTTAGCAGACAGGGATCAGAATCACTCATGTGTTGAAATATCGCTCCACTTGTAGTATAAGCTGAATCCAACCCTAGCCCATCACCTCCCCTCCCAGGACTCCAGATCTGTCATGGAACACAGCCTGGGTTTTGGAAAACAGAATGGGCTTTGGGTCAGAGACAGAGTGGGAAGCCCTGTTTTTTCTGATTTGTACGCTAGCAATGTGGGCATGCAATTTTTGTTTGTTTGTTTGTTATTTTGTGACAGAGTCTCACTGTGCAGTTCAGGTTGGCCTTGAACTCACTTTGTAGCCCAGGCTGGTCTGGAACTTGAAATGATCCTTTTGCCTCAGCCTCCTGAGTGCTGGGATTACAGGCCTGTGCCACCGTGCCTGGCCTTCAAGCAATCCTTCTATCCCAGCCTCCCAAATAGTTGTGACTAGCGCAGGGGAAGTAGTTATTCATCAAGTGCTTCACTAGCAAGTATAAGGCCTAGATTCAACCCCCAGTACCTCAGATAAACAAATGACCATGAACCAAGTAGCTGGGGCCATAGGAATGCACCACCATGCCTGGGTCACTGTGGGCCTATTCTTGTTTCCTTAGCTGCTTGAGGACAAAGCCCTGACCGCAACACCTCAGTGCCAACTCCAGTTCTTAGTGGTTGATTAATTACTAATCACTATCCATCCATCCTAGAAGTATTCTAGGTTCCTACTATGTGTCATGCACTGAAGGTACAATGAAGAGTTAAACAGAAGTAGTGGGCATAATAATTATGTTACAATAATTATTATTACCAAGCAGCTATCATGTGCTAGGCATTCTAAGCACTTCAGAATTTAGCTCTTTTACTCCTTGTAACAATATCCTAGCGAGTTAGGTACTATTATTGGTAATGACCATTAAGTTTGTTGGGGCTGGCCGGGGAGATGGCTCAGTAGAATAAGGGCTTCCCTGGCAAGCGCAAGAGCCTGAGTTCAATCCCTGGTTCTGCCAAAAAAAAACAAAAAACAAAAACAAAAAAAAAAAAAAACCCATAAAGTTTGTTAGGGCTAAGTTGCCCAAGCCTGAGTCAGGATTCAAACTTACAGAGCTTTGCTCATTCTCCCTCCCCCGCCCCATCACTTTTTTGGTTGATCCTTCTCTTGCTCTCTTTCTCCTGGTTCTGGGGATCGAGCCCAGGGGTGCTCTACCACCGAGCTATACCCCTAGACCTTTTTTCTATTTTATTTTGCCTCAGCCTCCTACATATCTGGGATGACAGATATGATTCATTTGCGGTGTGTGTGCGTGTGTGTTCATGTATGTGTATGTGTGTGTTTCTAGAAATTAAACTCAGGGCCTTCGAAGTAAGCTACATTCCCACCCCTTCTTCATTCTGTATTTTGAGATTGAATGTTGCTAAATTCTCAGGCGGGCTCAAATGTGTGATTCTCTTACCTTGGCCTTCCAAAATGCTGGGATGACAGACATGTGCTGCCATGCCTGGATATTTTGTGCTCTTAACAATATTCAGTTTTACCTGTCACTACAATATACAGTCCTATTCCTGATAGAGGTTATTTTTCAGAGCACTTTTATCCCTCTCTGACCCTCACAATAATCATACAAGATGAACAGGATAGGTAGGTTATTCCCATTTCACAGAAGAGAAAACTGAGGCACAGGGTACCTAATGGTTTGCTGAAGTCCTATTTGAGTCAGAGCTGTGGCTTTTAACTTCCACTTGGGTCAAGGATGTTCAGACAAGGGATAGAAGACCCTGTTCCTGGCACTCCAGGCCATTGCTTGAAGTACAGAGGACAGGTCAGCACCTACCTTGTGCACCCAGTCCTTGCAATCGTGGTCCTGCATGCACTTGTCCAGTGCCCCAGCCGAGAGCACCAGCACGAAGTTGCGAGCACCCATGACACTCTGGATCAGCTTGTCTTCGAATTTGCCAGCTTCCAGCTTCTCCACATCAATGAAGACACTGAAGCCGTGCAGCTGCAGGTGCACCTTCAGGAGACTGCAGAGATGTCCTGTGTCACCATGGTGGCCTCATGCTAACGCCCCAGGCTGCCAACTTGCCCCTCCTTACCTGGCTAGCTGAGAGCCTGAGCTCCTTCGGTAGCTGATGAAGACATCTGGGGTGTCCCCGCCAAGCTTGCCGCTGGTACAAGGCAGTGGGGAGTGGAGCATTTCTGAGGCCAATGAGAAACAACATGGTGAGGAGCCCCTCCTCACCACTCCCCAGCCTTCTGAGCCCGGGCAGGGCAAGGCAGCTTACTCTGGAAAGGGTCAGTGAAGTCAAGACCCAGGCCCTATTGGAAGGAAGCTCTAGCCACTGGTGAGTATCTCTCAGAAGGCAGATAACGAGTTTTAGGGGACACTGAGGTGTACCTCCAGCCTCCCCTTTCTCAGCAACTGCAGGCCTGTGCAGCCAGCTACCAATGTCCTGCCACACTCAACACAGCCAAGAGCTTCCCTGGAACCCCTCCTCCTAGTTTCCACCAAAACCTTGGTGTCAGCCTCAACCTAATCTCCCATCTGTTTATTCAATAAATGCAGGTGCTCCTCGACTTACAGCGGTCTGTGTTCCACTATACCCATCATAAATTCAAAATGTCAATTCTTATCCCGGATTGGCCTTGCCTACCTTAAACATGCTTAGAACATTTACATTAGTGCACAGCCAGGCAAAATCATCTACAAAGCTTATTTTGTAATCAAGTGTTAAGTAGCTCACATAATTTATTGAATATAGTACTAAAGTAAAAAAAGAACTTAGGTGGTGCTTTCACATGAACACAAAGCTGAAAATTTGTCTCTGTTTGTCTGCATGTTTCTTTTGTTTGTTTTGGTACGAGAGATTGAACACAGGACCTGTACTCGCCAGGCAGGTGCTTATGCCGTTGAGATACCTCTCTGATCCTGCTTGCATGATTTTTGAGACAGGGTCTCACTCTGTAGTTTAGGTTGGCCTGGAACTCTCTATGTAGCCCAGGCCAGCCTCAAAGTCACAGTGATCCATGTGCCTCAGCCTCCCTAGCACTGGAACTAAAGGCATGTGCTACTACCCCTGGAGAAGCTGGGACGTTGTTAGTCAGGCCATATTAAGTTGGGGACCATCCTTTCTTACTGAGTCCACCCTGTGTGCCAGGTGCTGTCCTCAGTCCTTGGAATACAGTAGTGGATCCCAAACAGTCGGATCTCTGCCCTAGAGGAGCTGACATTAAGTGCTAAGCACCAGGCACCATCTTCTGTGGATTCTACCTAGCAGGCCCCAGCCCCAGGGCCTTCCACGCAGATCTTCATGTCAGTCTCCTCAATGGCTTCCCAAAAGTCAGCTAGGATTGCCCACTGTACTCTACTTGCCACACCACCAGGGGAATCATGCTAAAACCCAAATGTGAGCACGTCATTGCCCCCACTTAAAATTACCTAGAGCCAGGGATAGTGGTACATACCTATAATCCCAGCTACTCAGGAGGCTGAGGCAGGACTGTTGTGAATTCAAGACCAACCTGGACAACAAAGTGAGCTCAAGGCCAGCCTGAACTGCATAGCAAGACCCTGTCTCAAAAATATAAAAACAGGAGCCACCAAGATTGTTCAACAGACTAAACACTTACTTAGGCAAGCTTAGGGACCAGGATTCGATCTTTGGCACCACATGCCATATCAACCCAGTCCCTGGGCACACTAAGCTGGCCATTGAGACTGACTATGGCAGCGCATGTCTGTAATCCCAGTGCTGTGAAGGCTGAAAACAGAAGGATCACTACAAGTCTGAGCTGTGTAGTAAAACTGTGTACCAACTACATTAAAAAAAAAAAAAAAAAAAAAAGGCAAAAACAAAGCTGGGCGATAGCTCAGCGGTCTAAGCGCTTGCCTGGCAAGTGCAAGGACTGGGGTTTGATCCTTTGTACTGAATGCCATGCCAGACCACCTGTAAACCCAGTGCTAAGGAGGCTGAGACAAGAGGATCATTACAAGTCTGAGCTGTGTGGCAAGGCCCTGTACCAGATAACTAAATAAAAGATTATTTTTTTAAAAAAAGAAGACAAGGGCTGGTGAGATGGCTCAGTGGTCTAAAGCACCTACTTAGAACAAACTAAGTTAAGCAAAAGCACAGGGACCTCGGTTCAATCCCCAGCACCACATGCCAGCCAGCCCCACCCCCTGGTGGGCTGAACTGGCCACACACACACAAAATGAATAAATAATAAATAAATAAATAAATAAATAAATTTTTAAAAAAAAAATAAAAAAAGAAGACAAAAAACAAAATGAAAATTTATTTTGAAACAAGGCCTTACTAAATTATGCAGTCTGGCCTTGAACTCACAATCCTGCACCCTCAATCTCCTGAGTAGATGGAATTACAGGCAGGTACCACCATGCCCACCTGAGATAGTATTTGACAAACACTATATAGTAATTAGTAAATAAAAATAAGTTAGTAAAAAAGGAGGCTTGCTAGAGCCCTCGTCTCCATTGTAAAGCAGCTTCAGTATCCATGCTTTGTAAACTGCTGGCTACTCAGATAAATTTGTGCGTGCTGTCCCCCACCCACCCCATGTCTGCAGCCCCATACACAGCGCTGCCTCTACACTCGCACAAGCTGCCCCCCTCTGACTAGGCTGCCCTCCTTACTACCTCCACTCGATGGCATACATCTCTCCAGACCTGGTCAGGCATCCCTTCCTCTCAAAATCTAGACCTGGATGGGCAAGGTAAGCAGTGTTTCCTGCTCCAGCCTGCCGCTAGGGTCCTGGGCACACTTCCTGTGGGTCAACTGCCCACTTGTATACCAGCCTTCCACTTGGTTACCCACTTCAGACTGGGAGATTCTCCAGGGCAAAGTGCAGCATAGTCACCTTTATAAGTTCAGAGCCCTGTGGCATCCAGCAGAGTTCACTCACTCCCCAGGGAGTCCTGGAGCCTCTGACGGTGTCTCCCTTCACTACCTGCAGGGTGGGGCGGGGCTGAGGTCCGGGAGAAGTGGGCTGACCTCGGGCTGCGGAGAGAATGCGCGAGCGGTGCACACCCAGACGGATGCCACAATCCTCCAGCAGCTGCTGCTCGGACACGCGGTGCAGCAGGGAGCGGTCCAGGCCGCAGCTGACCAGGCCGTAGGTATACTGGCGGAAGCGAGGGTCCAGGCTGCCCAGCCAGTCGGCCAGGTTGCTGCGGTCGCACGTAGCATAGCTAGCGAAGGTCTTGAGCTCCGTGAGCTCTCTAAAGAACCTGCACCAACAGAAGAAAATGCTCTGGTCCTAACTAGGGACTCCTGGGGGGTAAGAGGGACAGAGGGTTAGAGACCTGGCGCGCTCGGCTCCTACCTCTTGCGGGTGATGCAGGATTTCATCCCCAGGTCGGTTTGCAGTTCCTCCTCCGTGAGCCGCAGAAGCAGATCTCCATCCACCTGCTGCTCCTGGGGGAGGGGTCAAGACGTGAGGAAGGACTCTCCTTTTCTGCACACGTTGCAAGAGAAGGGAACTAGAGGTGGCAGTGCAGGGGCGGCGCGCCCCAGATGAGAAGTGAGGGATTCCAAGGTTGGCTCAGAACAGGCTTTCCACCCCCAAAAGTCTACCGTGGGGCCATGGGTGCGACGGTGCCCAGGGTGCCCACCGAAGCTCCCGGGCCTTGGGGGTGGGGGATGGGCGTGCCCTCCATCTCCGCGAGGAGGCCCCTAGCAGCTCTACCCGGAAGCTCTCGCAGTACTGGGAGAAGCCGATTTGCTGTAGCCAAGTCTGGACCTCCGCCTCTTTCCAGCTGGCCACGCAGGGCTGGATGCGCCGCGGCACCTCCTCGCCCAGAAGACGCAGTGCGCGCTTGGCCAATGCTGACGTGGTGCCGTTGGTCGAGTAGGACACGAGGCGTTTCAGGCTCTGGATGGCACCGATATCGCTGAACACCTGGGGGCGGGGGGAGAGGGCCAGAGGGCATCTGGGGTCAACCAGCCGCAAACCCAAACCATGCCCAGTCCTCCCCTCACTGGCCTTGCTGTCTACTAATCATCCAGTCCTGTAGATTCTTCCTCCGAAATCAAAAGCCCTTCTGACCAGGCCTCCTGCTCCTGTCCCTTCCTCGCTTCCATCTGCACTGGGATAAAGTCTAAGCTCCGAGTCTGAGGCCAAGCTGCACAACGCAGCCGGGTCCACCCCTCCCTGGTCACCTCACTCACCCACCAAAGCTCTCACGCCGCTGTGTCTCCACCCATAGTGTTCCTGAACTCTTAATTCTTCCAGCCTGATCTTGGGAATCCTCCTTACATCGGAACCTAAATCAACTAGCACTTCGTGCACATAGCTTTGATTGTTCCATGGCTTGCCTCACACCTCCAATTAGGACTTGTGCCCAACTCTAAATGCCCCTGTTACTAGTTGATAAGGCAACTTCCACTAGACTACAAGCTGAGGGCCTTCTTAGTCACCACTGGAGCCCTGTGCGTGGCCCAATGAAGGGCATGGAGCAGGGGTTCATCTTTGTTAAACTGCACTCACTTGGTTTTGGAGAGAACAGGGTGACAGAGTCACTGCCCAGATTCAATCCTTGGGGTCTTCACTCCCTAAAGTCCCTTGTCCCAAAGCAGAATGATGTACAAGAAGATAAGTCTTATCATAGCCAGGTCTGGGGCACAGGGAGGTGAATTAGAAGTGCCTAAAATATTGGATGTTGGAAGAGGCCTCAGAGACTGCTAGTGTGATCTCTTGGGATCTGCAGGGACTTAGGTCATGGGTGACAATCACCCAGGAGATACACTCCTTCAGGTAACTTTAGGTGACAGCTGTAGTGTAAACAGGGTGGGCTGAGAGATGTGCCCCACTCCCGGGCAGCACCTTTCACCAACTTCAAGGGCCCCCTAGAGGAATCCAGAGGAGAGAGGGTGATAATCTTGAATCTTTTAGTAATAAAATAAAAAACTCCACAAACTTTTGATAATGCAACTACCATGAGTCCCACATACAAGATAAAAACTGCTACTATGGTTCAACTGCTTCAGTTTTTCAGAGGATAAACACAAAGCCAGGGCTGGAAAGGTTGCTTAGTGGCAGAGCACTTGCCTAGCTGCACAGGCCCTGGGTCCCATCCCCAGGATTGCAACAAAAATAACAACAAAAGTAAACCACGAATCCAGATGACAATGATCACATAGCAATTTAAAGCCTGCAGGCTAAACTCTGGCCTGGGGGACCCTTTGGGACTCAGGTGAGTGATATTTGGCTGACACACGGAGATCCTAAATCTCTGTCTCTGGCTGACACCTCCTTTCAAGACTCTCTTTCTCAACGGTTAAACTGCTCACTAAAGGTTTCCAACGGGGCAACTCTCAGTTCCTGCAAAGCCACATGTCCCACTGAGCTGAATTCCCTTCTCTCCCTTCCTCCTGCCTGTCTGCCTCTTACCCAGTTTACCTGATCCAGGGACTGTCTAAGTTCATGGCCAGGTGTCAGGCTCATGTCCTTGCTCTCCTTCTCCCAGGTCCTAACTCCACTCCTTAAACCTCTGCCACAGCAAGCACAAGGCTGTTTTCTCTCAACTCCCTGCCCCCGTCATAACTCCTGTTAGGTCTTCCTGCCTCTAGCCTCATTCTTGTCAGCCCCCTTTCTGTACAGCAGCCAGGGTGATCTTTGTAAAACACAAGTGTCCCCTGCTGAAAAGTCTCTCAGTGTCTTCCTCTTGACCCCAGAAATCAAAGCTAAAGTTTGGGTCTTGCCTGCAAAGCTGGAGTGACAGACCTTTTGACCTTCCTCTAGATTCATTAGATCTTTACGTGTACAAGTCCCGCTTGAATGTCGCTTCCTCTGGGAAAGCCTCCCAGAGCCCTTTAAGCTCAGAATGACACTGCCCTGCACCCCACCTTGGTCTTGCCCTGCAGGCTCTTGATGGCAGCCTCCGCACAAAGGTAGAAAGCCCCGATGCACTGAGCCTCCAAGCGTGACGAGTCGAGCAGCGGCACGAGGTGCTGCAGATCGTCAGGCCCGCGGCCTTGGCTTGTGTCGCTGGCATCCACCAGGCAGCGAGCGAAGCGGCCTGGATCCAGCGAGGCCACGAGCGGCTCCACAAGCGCCAGCGTGCCGGAACGCTCCACTTCGCGCTCCACCTCCTTGTTAGTTGCCAACACCGTCACTGCGAGGCAGGCGTGCAGCCTCAGCAGCTCGTCCTCCTTGGAGAAGGCGAGCGGAAAGAGCCACTCGGCGGCGCGCTTCTCCACCATGCGCCGCTGTGCCGCCTGGCCCCCGTGCAGAGCGCAGTTGGCCAGCGCCAGCGCGCAGTGGCGCAGGAGCGCGGTATCTGTGCGGCGGCACCAATACAGGACAGCGTCCAGGCCACCAGCCGCCACCAGCCGCTGGCACGTCTCCTCCGAGTGCTTGAACATATGCTCCAAGATCCCTGCTACGCTCCGTGCCAGCTCCACCGGCTCACGCTCCTTCGCCAGGTTCAGAATCACGCCCAGTCCGATGCGGGCCACGCGGTCCCTGCCAGGAGAAAGTAGAAGGGTACGGTGGAGTTGCTGGCCTGGGGAGCTTAATTTGCTCGTCGGGGGCCTGGTCTTTTAACCTTCTTGGGCCTCCGTAGGGTCATTATTCTCCCTGCCTCACCGCTGGCCATTCTAGGACCAGTCTTTTCTGATTTTAAGTGTACAGAAGTCCTGGCCACAGCTGTCTCCTCCACTACCTTCTCGCCTTGAGAAGCATAACGCCTCCTACTCTGACCCCACCCTGCCCCAGCGTGGTTCCTTCTTTGCTGTTTTCTAACCTTGGGCACCTTCCTTTATCTTTTTTCTTTAGTTTCCACATCTCATAATTAGGAATAGAACAATACCAACCTGGCAGGATTATTATCAGAATTAATAAAATAATTTATATAGAGTACTTGGCACCATGCCTGGAACACAGTAAAGCTCAGCAATATTAATTTATTGTCATTTGAAGTTGCACTTGAAATACACTACTCTCAGCTTAGCCTTCAAACTTTCTCACTCCAAGTTCCATGATTGTAGCTTATTTATTTGTTCAAGAGGTCTTTCTTTGTTTTGTCATTTTGAGGCAGGGTCTCACTATGCAGTTCAGGCTGGCCTTGAGCTTACTTTGTAGCCCAGGCTGGTCTTGAACTCATAATGATCCTCCTTCCTTAGCCTACCAAATGCTGGGATAATAGCATGTGCCCTGCCTTGGCTGGCCAAACAAGTATTTCTTGAGGACCTACTATGTGCCATGCTTTATATTAGAGAGGCTACTGTTATACAGTGACTAAACTTGACTAGAGTTGGTATGATGGCACATCCAGCACTCTGGAGGCTGAGGCAGGAGTTTGAGGCTAGTCTGAGATACATAGTAAGTTCAAGCCCAGCCTGGAATACACAGCAAGACCCTATCTTAAGAAAACAAAAAGGGGCCAGGGAGATGGCTCAGTAGAATAAGCGCTTGCCTAGCAAGGTCAAGGGCCTGAGTTCAATCCCTGATTCCAAAAAAAAAGAAAGAAAGAAAGAAAGAAAGAAAGAAAGAAAGAAAGAAAGAAAGAAAGAAAACAAAAGAATTCAGCAATCTTACTGGAACTTATCCTCAGCTAGTAACTAAGACAGTAACTAAAGAACTAACAAGGTAACAGAGATCTGGCTATGATGTTAGCCAGAGTTGATGATGTAATCCATGCCTGGTGAAGTGATGGCTCTAAGCAGATGACTGCTGACAGTTAAATGTCTGCGAAAAGAGCATAACAGGGAGAGAGAAGAGCCAGGGCCCAGGGCCCTGAGGCTGATGAGGCAGCATGTTTGAGGAGGGAATAAAGGCAGCCAAAGATGATGCAATGTCTAATCTAGCCAGGAAAAATAGAAAATCAACAAGGGATTCACATGGAGATTATGTAAGTAAATATTCACATGAAGAAGAAAAAAGGAGTGAATTCAATATATAATGAACAAAGAACATAAACTGGCAACTTAAAAGAAGTTGTATGTTTTTTAGTTTTGTGCTGAGGACAGAACTTCGGCATAAGCCATACCATTAAGCTATATCTCTGGGCTGCTTAGCTTCTGTCTGTCTGTCTGTCTGTCTGTCTGTCTGTCTGTCTGTCTCTCTCTACTATGTAGCTGAGGCTGGTCTTGAAGTCAATATGTAGTCCATACTGGTCTTGAACTTGCATGAGGCTCTTAAGATCTAGGATAGATATGTGCCACCAAAGTCCTCTTGATTTTTTCCCAGTACTGGTGATTGAACCCTGGTCTTTGATCATACTTTCAGCCCCCCTTCCCATTTTTTTTTAAACAGGGTCTCATTAAGTCATTAAATTGTCCACATGTGGTCTGGACATGGTGCACATCTGTAACCCTGGGGAGGCTGAATGCAGGATAACCATGAGTTCAAGGCCAGCCTCGGCTACAAAGTGAGTTTAAGGCCAGCTTGAATTACAAAGTGAGACCCTGTCTTGAAAAAAAAAAATGCCCACATGGTTCAAAGTTGCATTCCTCCTGCCTCAGTCTCCTGAATAGCTGAGATTATAGATGTGTACCCCTGCACCCAGCTACAAAAGAGGGTATCCAACATGTGAGCAAACAAGAAAATGGATACTTTTTTTTTTTTTTTTGGCAGAACAGAGGATTGAACTCAGGCCTTTGCGCTTGCCAGGGAAGCGCTTATTCCACTGAGCCATCTCCCCTTCCCCAGAAAATAGATACTTTAACCTGTCAGTAATTACAGAAATAAACACTAAAACAACAGCTCCCATTTTACCCCTATTAGATGGGCAAAGTCAAAATGTTGGATAACAGAGGTTTGAGGAGAGATAGGGTTACAAATGCCCTATCTCCACTGTGGGTGGAGGTGCCTGCTGGGCCCATCAATATGGAGACAACAGGGAAGCAATCTCTCCAAAGAGAGTGTCACACAGATTAGCCAGGGAACCTGGGCAGGGAAACTCACCACTGTGCTTTTTTGTGGTATGAAGTGGCTGGAGGTTATCATCATCAAGTCTAGGAGAGCGGAGACAACCTGCATAATAGTCCACTAGAGGACTTTGAAGCAGTAGCAAGAGACTGAGCAGACAATAACACTGCAACACTAATAATGTTAAAAACTTAACAGAGTGGAAAAAAAGCAAGAAACAGAATGTGCTGTGTAACATAGCACTGTTTATGTACATTAAAAATATCTGCACAGAAAACAAGATGAAAGATTTTACAGAATACAGACTAGAAAGATGCACATGAAATATGTTTTATGGTTGCCTGTGGGGCTAGGTCAGAGGATGGTGGGGCACTAGCTGGGTGGAGAAATGGCTATGGCATCCAGATACTGGTGTATGCAAAAGCTTGGAGCTGGTATCTCAGGGCTGGTGCCCTTGGGGAGTTGCCCATGCACCCATGTTGTGGGGGCAAGCGGTTCAAGGGAAGAGTGGGAAAAGAGATCAGTTCTGGGGTTCTTTGCAGTGATCTCAAGACATTTGTAGGTTATCTTTTTTCTTTTTGAGACAAAGTCTCATTATGTAGCCCAGGCTTGCCTCAGGCTTATGGTGATCCTCCTGCCTCAGCCTCCTGAGTGCTGGGATTACAGCAGCTATTCCTCTTACCAATGGGAAAACAAAGTCCAGAGGGGTTACATGATATTCTCAGGGTCACAGAGCTCCTGACAGGTGCAACAAGGGTTTGAACTCAAGGTTGTCTCTAGATTCAAGAGCCTTCATGTGGACCTTGTATTTTCAGATATCTAAATGTGTAGGTTATTGGGATTGGGATGTACTTAAGAAATCATCTAATCCAACACTCTAATCTTCAGAGGACTTAGCTAAACCCAAGTAAAAAGAAGACATTTTCCAGGAACATCAGTTCAGAGTTAGGAATTTATTGTGAGTCTCTAGCTGCACCTTTCTCAAATACTTTAAACTTTTCTGGAGTTAAACTATGTGCTGGTTGTGACAGCTGTTCATTCAGCTCCCAATTCTGTGGTCTGAGAGACTGTGGATCTGATTAAATGGAAAACATAATTTGGAGTCACACAGATCTGGGTTTAAATCTTAGCTCCCGAGGAGATAGATAGATAACACGAAAAATGCATACACACATCACTAGGTCTCCACAGTAATAAATGTCTGGAAGGTAATGGGCACACTTTGAGTAACTCTTGTATTGTTGAGGCCAAGGGAGGGTCAAATAGCTCAGCAGATTAAGGCGCCTCTAAGTAGGTGCAGGGGCCGGGGTTCAATTCCCTGGCCTGCCATACTGGCTGCTCCTGGGGCATGCTGAGACAGCAATTGAGACTGAGTGTGGTGGTGCACACCTGTAATCCCAGCTCTTGGGAGGCTGTAAACAGGAGAATCACTATGAGTCCATTCTAGTCGTGAGACCCTGAACAGCCTGTAGGCCCTTCCCTAAAATACAAATAAATAAATAAATAAATAAAATGTTGAGGCCAAAGGTAGTTTAGATTAATCTCATGATATCCCAATAAACTTTATATGAAAATATTTAAACAAAGTTTTCTTTTCCTGATGTGTATTTTTTTGGTGCTCCTAGCAATCAGGAGGCCGAGGCAGGAGGTGTACCATGAGGTCAGGGCCAGCTTGGGCTACACAGTAGTTCAAGGACAGTCTTGACCACATTGCAAGACCCCATCTAAAAAAAAAAAAAATGTTTGTATGTGCATAGAAGTCTCTGAAAGGGTATACAAGAAACTTGTAAATGGGAAGGAGACCAAGAGATAGGGGAAGGGGAAGTAAAAAGAATTAAGATGTGTTGGGTACATGTTCCAACTCCACATTATGAATATAATCATTGTGGTACTGCAAACATGTATTAATAAAACTAAAAAAGAAATTCACTTCAGTGATTGGCTTCCAAAGAGGTGGTCTAGTTGGAAAGAACTTTTAGCTTTATTCCCTTTTTGTATGCTTTTTCCCCTTTTAAATTTAAATTTATGTGCAATAGTTTTCTGGTTTTGTTTTTTAGAAGCCCTGTCTTTTCCATTTAGTCATTGCATATGATTGAAGAAAGTTTTCGACTCTTTTGAGGATTCTTGCATTATGGTGACCTGATGAGGGTGGGTTGTGAACTTGGCTGGGAGTCAGATGGGGCCCTTACTGGTGTTTTAGAGCCAGGTTTGGAGTCCATACCATGTTGGACTTATCCTGGTAGATGAGGGTGAAGGAAACTGTGATCCAGGCTCCTGGCCAATGGGTTCAGCAGCCCACTGAGAAGAGCTGCAGCCAGGCATGGTAGCGCCCTTCTGTAATCCCAGTACTGAGGCAGGAGGATCGCTGTGAGTTCGAGGCTAGCCTGGGCTATGTAAGCAAGTTCAAGGTACTATATAGTGAAACCTAGTCTGAGAGAGAGAGAGAGAAAAAGAGAGAGAGAGAGAGAGAGAGAGATATGAGGTAGACAGACAAAAGAACCTTCTTCAGGAGGAGGCAATGAGGGCCCTGGTCGCTAGAAGAGGAAAAAGTTTCATAAACACAAAATCTCATTGTGTCACCCTTCTTATTTCCCTTCCAGCCCTGTCCTAGAGCAACCTAGAGGAGGGCAGAGACCTTGAGAATCCTAGGAAGGATTTTGATCTTTGAGGTGCGCTGCGCTCTGTCCTTGGTGCTGAAGTGACACCACAGGCATGTGTGTGTTTCTTGGTTCAGAGACCTTAGCTAGTGGTTCTTCTCTGTGACTCTGAACCAAGGATTGCCACATTCTGCCTTCAGAAATGCTTGAATCTTGAAGACCTCCTCCTTTATGGTGCCCGTTGTGCCCATTCTCCAGGGTTCTAGTTATAGCTGGCCCTTTCTACACTTTAGGATGGGCCCTGCTAGACCTGCTAGACCTGAGACCCACTACATCTAGGCCCCACCATGCCTAGTGAGTGCCCACTCCATTTTCTTGCCCTCCAAATTCATAGAGATCAGGACACCTGATATTGGATGAAGGTCAATGACCTGCTAAACAAGCAGAATCTTATCTTGGTCTCCTAACCTAAATGCTTCATTCATGTATTTTGGGGGAGTTGTATAATTTTTACCAACTGCAAGGAATTCATTCTCTCTCTCTCTCTCTCTCTCTCTCTCTCTCTCTCTCTCTCTCTCTCTCTCTCTCTCTGAAATGGCAAGGAACACCACCCCTAACCCATTCCCATTACTCTCATGAGGGCTGCATGAGCTGTAAATGACTCATCCAAAGCTTTTCCAAGCCTAAGAAGCCTGGGAATTTAGGCAGAGACTGGAGTGTGATGTTCCGGTCTGCCTTGGCACCGGAAGAGAGGGAAAGGAGTCCTCAGGGGTCTTGGTAACTCCAGAGGGCTATCAAGAGGCAGGCAAAGGCTGCTGTTTGGCCTCACTTATTGCATTTGGTACTCTTGGGGCAGGGGGAAGAAGATGCACACTTTGGCCCCTCCTAGCTCTGCTCCCCAGTTTCCCCTGCCCCCATTCATTCTTCCCAGCAATGGGATGCCATCTCCATCCACAGAACCAGGGACAGCTCCTGTGCTAGGACTCCATTCTTTCTCTTCTCTTCCAGTGCCCATTCCTTACCCCACCTGTACTGGGAATGAATCCTCGTTGCACTACTGGTTCTCTTTGTGACACATTTAGCTTTGGGCAAGTCACAAAACTTTCCTCAGTTTCTTCATTTGTAAAATGGACACGCTGACACCTTGTAGAGAGGTAGCGCAATGGGGAATACAATGGAGTTGAGACAGACGACAGTGCCAGACGAGCGGGAGACCCAAGCACTCGACCGCGCTTGCCGCCCCACACCATGCGGCATCTCCCCGTCCCGGTCCGGCGCCCTCACCGGTTCTCTGCTACCAGGATCTGCTCCAGCAGGCGCGCGGCCTGCACACGCGTCTCCAGCTCCGGCGCCTGTAGCAGTCGCAACAGCATGTCGAGGCCGCCATCCAGGCGGATGGCGTCGCACAGACCCTGGGCCACCTCGCGGCCCACGGCCGGAAGCAGCCAGGCTTCCTCCACCAGCTGGAAGACCTCGGCGAGGCCCGCGCCCACGGCCCGAGCGGCGCCCGCCTGCTTCAGCGCCGACAGCGCCTGCTGCAGCTCGGGCAGCGCACGCTCCAGGGCGCCCTGCACCTCGGCCCCCGCCCCGGGCGACACCTCCCGGGGCCCGCGGCCGCCCGTAGCCCACCATGGACCCGCGCCGCCGCCCCCATCCGGCCCGGGCACAGTCAGCCTCTCGGCACCGGCCCGCGGTCCGGACATGGTGAAGAAGCCGCACAGCTTGTGGGCGGAGAGGAGCAGCGTCAGGACCATGGGCGCGGGGCTGCGGGGCACATTCCCCGCCTGCAGGGGCGGGGCCGGCGGAGACCCCGACCCGGGAGAAGCGGAAGCTGAGAGCGGAGCGGCGGGGAAGGAGGCGCTCGGAGCGGGATGCGGAAAAGGCCACCCCGCAAGGGCGCTGGCCTGAAGTTTGGGGGAAGGGGAGCCCAGGCTCGGGCGCAGCGGTCGGGAAGGGCGCAGCGGTTGGGGAAGGGGATGCGAGCCCAGATTCAGGGAGCTGGCAGAAGACGGGAATGGGAAAGCAAAAGACAAATCCAGACGCCGGAGGGGAAGAGAGCGGCGGCCGGAACAAAGCGCGGGATGCTGGGGTTGGGCAGAGCTGAGATGCGGAGCAGTAGCCACGCCCCTGAGCTGCGAGTCCGGCGTGGAGGCCCCACCTCTTGTCTCGAGAGACTCCGCCCCCTCCGAGGGCATAGCCCCACCCCTACTGCCTTCGCGAGCCACGCCCTCACGCTGGCCCTCTAGGGGCCGGTGTTCTGCCGGGTGGTGGAGGAAAAGGGTGGAGAGAGCATCAGTCGCCTCTGAGTGTGCCTTCCCTCCCAGTGGTTAAAGCAACTGTAGTATTTCCATAGGATTAAAATAT